GCAATTTTTTCACCTTGTTCCTTTTTTAGAATACTTCTAATGGTGCTATAATTCTTGGGTTCCATAGTAGATCTGATGTAAATGAGTTTCATATTAACTATTTTGTATAGGGATAGTTCTATATATCACTTAAAATAATGAATGGGATATTATAAAACTGTTAATTATGATCACATTACAAATGACTAAATTTTGATCCCTGAATTTTTGGCAATACCAATGTTCACTTTGTCTGGTTTTGTTGCAGTATGCCCCATATAAAAATGAAACAATTTAGCAAATAATTATAGTCTGATATAATCACCTTTTTTTTGGGCATTTTTATTTATTATTTGTAACCTGGTGCTCTTATATTTCGAAGAAAAAAAATTTCAAAGGAAAATTTTTTCTTGGGTCATCCTATATACAGAACATATGTGACAAATAAGAATTTAATTTTGGAGTTGGTAAGCATTCCATAACTCCTGCCACCCCAAGCCTCACAAGTTTAATCGTCATATATAGATAACTGTCACGAAGTTACAAAAATTTGAACTATTTCCTTTTTTATATAATAAATTTCCATTTTTGGTAGGGTACTGTATATTTCAAAAAAAAGAACCTTTCTGTATATATATAGGATATTCTTTTTTATTAATATCATAATGTAAAAATTGTAAACATAAGATAATTTTCAATTTAATCATGACAAATGTTCACCCATATTTCATATAGAGTTACCAATTTAATGGATATGACTAGAATTAGAATTATATTTAGAAGCAAAAGGTATGTATAGATCTAGAATGACTTTCTGCATCATAACTAAAAAGTTTATTATGATAATATTATCTGAAAAAATTTTAACATTATAAAAACTAAGTGCAAAACATCTAATAAAAATAAAATAAAAATAAATTTGTTTAGCTTAGAATTTCTAAATCTTGATATCTTGCTATACATTGTTCAAGAGTATTATTTTGTTGCTGTGTTTTTATTGTAAAAGGTTTAACACCTTTCCAATTATTCATTAATTTTCAAATAATTCTTCATTGGGACTTTTAACCTTACAAGTAAAACTTATTGATTTCAATGTTCTTGGCACTGTTCGAAGCAATGATTGTAAAATTTGATTGCAACTGATTTTTATGGTATTACTATCATTTCTAAATTCAATACTTTCTAATTTACTGCAATTGTTAAATATTTCTATTAACTCTTGGTCTACTCCATTTCTATAATGTATTGATAATTCTATTAAATTTTTACAATATTGTGCAATTGATTCAAATTGCATCCCCAAAGATACTGGATCATTGTTTTTAATGGTTTTTCCATTGTTCTTAATAAACTTTATTGAAGATTTTAATTGAACCAAATTGGGCTGCAATACTGTTGAAACCTTATCGTTGACACATAAAAATATACAATTGATATTTGGGAGCAAAACATTTTTCAAATAATTGATTTTCTTGTTAGAAAGTGATACTGTTTTCAAATTTACAAGTGTTGGTATTAATGTCTGATCAATATTGTTTTCTCCATTGTTTGAATAATAAATTATTGATTTTGAATGCTCCTGTATTGCTATTTGGATTTTTTTTGATAAAATTGTATTAACAGTAACATCATCATCTGCCAACTCCTCTAAAGACTAGTGCTGTAATCCAAAAAAGGAAAAAGTATGGTTGCAAAAGTGGTCGCAAAGGTAATTGCAACCACTTTTTATATGCCCTAAATACAATTACTACCATCATCATAATTTACAGCACTAGTCTTTAAACTCCTCCACATTATTATTAAAAACTGTTAATTCCTCTATATTGCATTGTCCTTTGATTAGTTGAGCTAAACTATCCTCATTTTTTTTATCCCTTGTGGTGTAATCTAAACCAATTGATCAAATGGATTTACAATTTACCAATAAATTTAGAATAATTTACATTGGAAAATTCACAGTCCAACTTGTAAAGTCTATTGAAACAATTGGCAAATCAATGATGATTATATACTTGACGAAGATTAATATCTAACATGCTAAATCTTCTGATAGCAGCTGAATGATTTAAAATAAATTTTACTAATCTACTTCATAATATATTTTCTAGTCTAGTAGAAGTGGAAGTTTCAATGAGTTCTTTAAATTCATGATCATTGGTATAATAAAAAAAAGTTGAGTACAAAAATTTGCATAATTGTATAATGGTGATTTATCCGACAATGAGAAAGTCAATTTAATTCCACTTTTGGTTAAAAAATTCTTATCTTCTTTCAACAAACAATTAATTAATATTTTTGGTGCTGTTAAGCGAGTAAAACAGATCCTTCCATAAAATTGGGATGTTGATATCATGCCATTGTTTGTTGACAAGAACACAAGAATATAACATTCCAGGATCATCTTTGTTATGCTTAAATATTTCAGTTAAAACCTCAACTGGTAGATTTAATGATTGATTGTCTTTACTTGTAATTATAATCGTGTAGTTTTTTGCCAAAATTCATCTGCAAATTTGAATTCCCGTGAGAATGTTCAACATCTGCCAAAATTAAAATATCCGAAATTAATAATCATTTAATAAATTAAAACTAGAGTGATGATGAGTGGTGATAATGTCACCACCATTCTTATGATAAACAACACTTAAACTGGGATTCCTCTTGATTGCTTTCTTTTTTTCTTTTTGCTTTTTTTGTTGTGACTGATGACTTTTTTTTTTTATTTTTAAAATTAAAAATGAATTATGATACACAAACACAATATACAGTGTGTGTCACAAAAAAAATGATGGTCACAAAAATATCACATATCTCAACAATTACACAACATAGTTAAATAAAATTGGATTCATTTGAAAGCTTTATCATTTACTTTATTAAATAATAAAAAATAAACATGAAATGCCATTGCCAATTTTCTGTAAAGTTAATTCATATATTTTTTTTAGAACTTTGCTAAATTTTTGTCTGAAATTTTAACATGGAATTTTTAACAATAGCCCTGACACAAGCATATACATAATAATTATACAAAAAATTATACTGGTCTGTAAAGTTCTGGAGATTATGTATATAAAGTTTCACACTTCCAGATTTTCTAGAATTTTGTCAATTGAAAATAAAAGGAATTTGATTATTTGAAAAAACCATTCAAATGTGTAAATTTCTTTAATAATTGCTCTAAAGCCTACATAACAATATACTTCAAAACTTTTCTATGTTATAATCTAAGATCTTCCAATTCTATGGTATAATTTTTATTACATAATTTTGGCTACTTTTTCATTAAAAATAATATTTTACAAACCACCATTTTTTTTTGAGAGACACTGATTGTTATTGTTGTTGACATGATTGAATTTTTTTTTTTTGGAAAAACAGTTTATCTTTTACAAGATGAGAAAGTGCAAATGTTGTTGTACAATATGGCTTGCTCTAAAGGAGTCATGTTGTTGTTTATTGATGGTGAGAGGTACACTATTTTTTGTATTGATTTTTTTTATTGTTTAATTGTTTTTATAAATATTGTCTTTTATTTTGTATAAATATTATTGCAAAATCAAATTGTGGAAGCAGAACTTGTCTGTCTCTTTAGGTATTTATATTATTCTTGATAATAATGATTCATCATAAGTAACAAAAATATGTAATTTTGTTCATCAGGAAGTTCTGGATTAAGTTGTACCATTTCATCTCCAACAAATTTAGGCATGTATTGTTCCAACTCTTTCATTTTCTCTAAAAAAATCTTATGATAAGATATCACATCTTCTCTTTCATGGCCATCACAGTCAATGCCTTTTTTCTTAGATTGTGGGATTAATCCAAGTTTTTAAGCCAAATACAAGAAGTATTATCTGAGATTGATTTTTTATTTTCTATCAATAGTTTAGAGTTAACAAATTCTTTATATTCTAAAGGTGTTGTTTTTCCTCCACTTAGTCTGATAAACTCAAGACTACCATTAATAACATCTTCATCATCAATTAATGATTTTGTTTTTTGATGACAACCTTGCATGCTTTTAGGTAATACTTCATTTTTAAACCAATGCATTGCCCATTTACGAATACATGTTGCCTTATATGAACCTTTATTATTTTTATTATAAACTTCTCCTGCTGCACAAATACTTGCTTCAATCTTACCTAAATCTTTATTTAAATTAACAAAATATTTATAAATTGCTAAATATTGAAAGTATTCATCTGCAGGCAATTTTTTATTTTTTAAAATAATTGTAAGCTTATTCAATTGTTCTAAATTGATCTTATTTTTAAAATTTATATTCTCTTCTTCAGATGAATAATCAAAATCATCAAAATTAGCAGGGTTAGCATATAAACTTAGATCTATATTAATATCTAGAACATCACTATTAACTTCACTCATAATATTATCAGCATTTAAATTTTTTTTAGTATTGTTTATATCATCATCCAATTTATTCATATCTTCACTACTGTTGGTTTCATCTATATTATTATATTATCTTCATTATTGGTTTTTTTAAAAAATTGATCAATTTTTTTTGTATCTTTAGCAGCTTTAGTAAATTTACCAGATGGTTCATATCTTCTAAATTTAATAGCTTGTGATATTTCTAATTTATTTGAAGGATTTTTTCTTCTTTTTTTATCATCTATAGAAATTAAATTAAAATTTACAAGATCTTTTTTATCTTGTTATAAAGTCATTTCTGTATCAGTATCACTAATATTAATACTAGAATCTGAAGAATAAATTTCATCTGATAAAATAAAATCTGAGTCAGAAGGATCTGATACTTTGCTTTCTTCAAATTGACCTTAGATGAATTGTTAGATCGATTTTTGAAATTTTTTCTTTGAGAAATTTGATTTTTTGATAATGGCATATTTAAAAACGCGATGTTACACGAATTTACTTGGTCTCATTTTTGTAACCTTGTATGTAAATTGATATTACTTTAAACCTATATAACTTGGTTAATATTAAAGAAAAAAAAATTCTAGCCGCTAACTTTGAAAGCTCCAGTGTTGCTTAGTAAAAATTAGTGGTTAGAATTTTTTTAAAATGTTTTTTTAATTTATTTTTATCAAATTTGGCAACATCAATTTTTATTTTGAGTATAGACGATTTGCACTGTAGCATTAGTACAAATGTGAAAACTATCTGCAGGAAAAATACTAAATATGTATAGTTACTTACTGATCGTGTAATTAACTGTTTCCCACAAAAAAAAAATTTTTTTGATTAGATTTTTTTTTTTATTTATTTATTATAAAAAATTTTTTTACAATGATTGGAAAAAAAATCGGTTTGAAAAGTAATAACAAAAATAATAAATCTAAAGTCAATGATATTTTAAAAGTTAAGGCTTCTAAAGCTTCTTCTGATAGTAGCGAAAATGATGAGGAAAGTACAGGCGAATCCTCTTCTGGAAGCGAGTTAGACTCAAAAACAAAAAAAATATTATCAGCAACTGCTACTAGTATTAACGACAGTGATAATTCTGACGATTCTTCCGAAAGCGAATCAGAGTCAAATGGTAAAAAAAGGATTAAAGAATCCAGTGATAGTGAAGACAATGAGGATAGTTCTGACGATTCCTCTGAAAGTGAATCAGAATCAAAAATCGCCGATTCCAAGGTTTCTGGTGGTGTAAAAAATGATAAAGAAGAATCCGATAGTGAATCTGATAGTGAATCTGACGAAGAAGATTTTTCTCCAGACAAACTCAAAAAAACTATCACAAACTCAAAAAAAGAAAGCAGTGATGATGATGAGGAGAGCGACGAAAAAAGTGACGAGGACAGCGAGGAAGAAGAAGAAGATGATGATGATGAAGAAGAAGATGATGATGATGACGATGATGAAAAAGGGAGCAAGTCGAAAGAAAAGACTAAAGCTCCAGATATTAAATCAACGCCACAGGTTGTTAAACGAAAAATAAATGAAGAGTTTTCTAATTCGATCAAGAAACCAAAAATCGAATCAGATTGTAAAACAGTGTATGTTGGAGAATTGCCATTGGAAGTTGATGATTATACGTTACAACAAGAAATGAAAGAGGCTGGTTATGTTATAAAGGCTCGGATAATGTATGACAAATTCTCGAAACAATCAAAAGGGTAATTATTCAGCTTTGAAACTTATCAATAATTATCATTATATATTATTAATTAATTAATTTGGTTTTATTATAGTTTTGCTTATGTTGACTTCGCAACTCCTCAAGAAGCTCAAAATGCTTTAAAATTATCTGGAAAGAAAATTAATGGAAAAGCAATAGTTGTCCGTCTTGATGAAAAATCAAACAAGAATTCATCTTTTCAGAAACCGGGCGGTGGTTCAAACTTTAATAAAAATTTAAGTGAACCTTCTGATACAATTTTTGTTGGAAATTTATCTTTCAAGGCTGATGAAAACCAACTCGACCAGCTTTTCAATGGATTCGGCAAAATTGTTTCAATCAGATTACCGACACATCCAGACACAGGTAGTCTTAAAGGGTATATATATTCTCTTTCATTGTTATCATTTTATTATGACACCATTAATTTATTCATTTTTTTTCCAAATTCATATTGTAGATTCGGGTATGTTCAATTTTCTGATATCAATGCAGCCAAAAAGGCTATGGATCTTCAGGGTACAGTATTAGCCGGGCGTTCTATCAGACTTGATTATGCTGACACAAAACAAAAAAAAAATAATAATAATTTTGGTTTGTATTTTGTCGATTACATTGATTATGTTGATATTGTGTCCATTTTTGGTACTATTGTTCTGGTCATTATTCTGTTCATAATTGTTTTTCTTTCTATTATTCAAATTAGGTAATGCTGGTGGTCGTAATGAACGTAATAGTAGTAATCGTGGCAAATTTAATGGGAGTTTTGGGAGAGGAAACGGTAGGAATTTCGGTGGTAATAATAGAAACAATAATGTAAACTCTTTTTCGCCTGCATCTGCAAATCGAGGAGCTATTGTTCCTGGTGGTGGTAAAAAAATCGTATTCGATGAATGAACAATGTATATACTTCTATATAGAAATCGTAATTGTAATGATCATATTTTTACATATTGGCGCATGATAATTGAAAAAAATTCTAAACGTAGAAAAATGGTACAACGAAAAAAACCTTGTATTAGTTTCAAAAATTTAAAATTTTTTTTTCATATCATTTTTTTGTTTCTTTGCCAAGTCCTTTGTGATTTATGGCCTTGTACTTTTTCAACATTACAATTATGTTTATTTCTTAAACACATTACTACTAAAATTTACATTTTTTTTTTTTTTAAAATAAATTCGATTATTTATTAATATTTTATTTGTAAATAATAAAAATATTTTTAAAAATTATTTCTCAAAAACTTTTACTATTTATTTATTTATTACTTATTTTTATACAATTTGCTTGTAATTATTTAATTTTATCAAAATGAGTGGAGGAAATATCAAAGTGGTTGTCAGATGTCGTCCTTTAAATTCAAGAGGTAATAATAAAATTTTATTGGTTTGATCCGTTAAATTAAAAACATGCACATTAAAAAATTATCTTAAATGGAGTTTCAAACTTAGTTACGTGTGTTTAATTGTATCATATATTTTTGTTATATAGAAATTGCTCGAGGGGCCAAGTGCCTTATTAGAATGGAGGGTGATCAAACTATTATTACCAGACCTGATGATGCAAAAACCGGAAAAAAAGATGCCGAGGATGTTAAAGCATTTACTTTTGACAAGTCTTATTGGTCTTTTGACAAGAATGACCACAACTATGCTACTCAAGCAATGTTATATGGTGACCTTGGCGAAGAGTTACTTAACCATGCTTTTGGAGGATACAATACTTGTATTTTTGCATGTAAGTTTCTGTAAATTGATATATATACATATATGTTGTCAATTAAATTGATTTTTATTATTTATTTATTTATTGTTGATTAGATGGTCAAACTGGTGCCGGAAAATCATATTCTATGGTAAGGAATATATCCAATAATGTTTTTTTTGAAATGGTTTTTTTTAATTTATAAAAAAAAAAATTTTTAATATTTAATTTGTTAAAAGATGGGATATGGTGAAGATAAAGGAATTATACCCTTGACATGTGCTGAATTATTTAAAAGAATCGATAGTTCCACCGTCGAAAATGTGACTTACCAAGTTCAAGTCTCATATATTGAAATTTATAATGAACGTGTTAGAGATTTATTAAATCCTAAAAATAAAGGAAATCTTAAAGTCAGAGAACATCCTATGTTGGGTCCATATGTTGAAGATTTATCTAAATTGATTGTTAGATCTTTTGATGATATTGAAAATTTAATGGACGAGGGTAATAAGGTAATAATTTTTATCTATAAGCTGTTCATTGAGAAAAAAAAATTTTTTTTTTTGTTTAATAAACTTTTTTCTCATTCATTTTGAATTTTTAATAGGCAAGAACGGTGGCAGCAACAAATATGAATGAAACTTCAAGTCGCTCTCATGCTGTGTTTACATTATTATTAACACAAAAACGTCACGACTCTGAAACTAATATGGATACAGAAAAAGTTTCTCGCATCAGGTAAATTTTAATTTATATAGTTACGTGATTAAAAACTAGAAATATAAATCAACTATTTTTTGCTTATTAATTCCTTTTTCATTATCATCATTACTATTAGTCTTGTAGATTTAGCTGGTTCTGAACGTGCAAATTCTACTGGTGCAACAGGAGCACGCTTAAAAGAAGGCGCAAACATCAACAAGTCTCTAACAACATTGGGTAAAGTTATTTCTGCTTTAGCTGAACAATCATCAGGCGGAGGTAAAAAGGGATCAAAGAAAGGTGATAGTTTTGTACCATATAGAGACTCGGTAAGTTTCGATTTATTAAGTTTTGATGAATAAACTTTATATTTAAAATTAATTTATTAATCAATTAATATATTTTTTTGTTAGGTTTTGACTTGGTTATTGAAGGACAGCTTAGGTGGTAATTCTAAAACTGCTATGATTGCTGCAATTTCGCCTGCTGATTATGATGAAACTCTTAGTACCCTTCGTTACGCTGATGCGGCTAAACGTATTAAGAACAAAGCTGTCGTAAATGAAGATCCCAATGCCAAACTTATTCGTGAACTTAAAGAAGAGTTACAGGCATTGCGTAGCAAACTTAATATCGACCCTAATGCAAATATCAGTGACGTAATAGGAGAATCACAAAATGATGTAAACCTTCCGCCCTCTCAACAATTTGTCACACTTACGGATAAGGAAGGCAATACGATAAAAAAATCTAAAGAAGAATTACTTGATCAAATACAAGCTTCTGAAAAATTGATGGATGAGGTGAAGGAAACATGGCAAGAAAAAATGCGTAAAACTGAAGAGATACAACGCGAGCGTGAAAAAACTCTGGAAGAACTTGGTATTATGGTAGAAAAAAATGCAGTTGGTGTACATCCTCCAAAGAAAATACCACATCTTGTCAATCTCAACGAAGATCCATTAATGTCAGAATGTTTAGTCTACCAGATCAAGAATGGTACAACACGTGTTGGTAGACTTGAGTCTGAAACTCAAGCTGATATACGTTTGAGCGGTGAAAAAATTCAGGATGAACATTGTTACTTTGAAAATAAGGATGGTGCTGTAACATTACATCCATGTAATGATGGTTTAATAATGGTAAATGGTATGCGTATAGAAAAACCAAAAAGATTAAAGTCCGGATACCGTATCATTCTTGGAGACTTTCATGTGTTTAGATTTAATCATCCTGAAGAAGTTAGAAGGGAACGTGCTAAATCAAAACAACTTAGTATTAGTATAAATGGTCCTTTAACACCCGGCACTGATGATGGAAAACCACCTGATTCGCCTACATCCACTGCATCTCTTATGTCTGAAGCTGTTATAGATTGGAATTTCGCAAGACGAGAAGTTGCTCTTAATTATGGTGTTGACCCTACAAATTTACCTGATGAAGATTTACAAAAATTGATGGATGATATTAAAAAAATCCAAATTTCTCGTAAACGACCAGACAGCAGAAGTGGTGATTTTGATGACGACACAGAATCAAGGACCTCAGAGAAAATGGGTTCATATGAACCGACTGATACAAATTATTCTAGTGAGTTGGAATCTGAAATTGAAGGAAAAGTCAAACAGTTAAAAGAAGAAATGCAACAACAATTTGAAACACAAAGACAAGAATATGAAGACAAAATAAAACAAATGAACGCTTCGAATCTTGAAGCAGATGAATTAAAAGCTGAAAAGAAACAGATGGAGGAAAAACTTAAAATGGTTCAAGATGAAATGCGTAGGATGATGGAAGTTCAAGCTCATAAACTTAAAAAAATATCACAAGCTCCTTACGAAGATTATAGTAAAACGTCACCAGGAGAACCAACATATACTGAAGAACAATTACGTCTTATTAGGATGGCTATTAAGAAATGGAAACATCAAAGATACGTTTTTATGGCCGAGACGATACTTAGTAATGCAGTTGTATTGAAAGAAGCTAATGTTATAAGCAAAGAACTTGGTAAAAAAATTCTTTATCAGTTTACTATTATAGAAGATGAACCATTTACAAATCCTGTTTCATCTTATGAAAGTACATCGGCATTAAGTCAATATAACAACAATGAGGACATTTCACTGCACTCATCTAAAAAACCTTGTATAGGAGTGAAGGTTATTGATTTTAAAAATGGAGTTGTATATGTCTGGTCTTTGGATAAACTTAAAACTCGCCTTCAAAAGATGCGCAATCTGTATAACTTTATAGATCGCCCTCAATATAGTAGACATTTCAATTGGGAAGACCCATTTTATGAAACTCCATTACCTCATTATACCTTTATAGGAAGTACTTCTATTGGTTTAACAAGTTTACTATATAAAACTGAACATGAACATAAAGCACCAGTAGTTTGTAGATATTCTGGTGATATATTGGGTTATTGCAAAATTCGTATCAAATACATTGCAGATTATTTAGAAAAATACAAGGATGACAAAGAAGAGAAGGGAAAGGAAGATAAAGAGAAAGAAGGGAAAGAAGAGAAAGAAGAGAAAGAAGAGAAAGAAGAGAAAGAAGATGATAATAATAATAATGTTGGTGCCAATTGCGCTGTCGTTGCTACTACTAATGTTAATAACAGTACCAATAATAATGAAACTTCGACTAAATTGTCAATTGGATATATGGTTGTATTTGAAATCAAAATACTAGATCTCACTGGTATTCCAGAATCACAATTTACAGATGTGCACGTACAATTCAAAAAATCGGTATTTGGAAGTATATCACCATCATCATCTATAGCGAATGAGCAAATTTATTCCACTAATATAATGACTGATTTTGGAAATTCGGCAATTAATTTTAATTACGAACAAACAATTAAATTGATAGTAACACCTGAGGTGATTGATACACTTACAAATCACATGTTAACATTTGAAGTTTTTGGGCGTGCAAAACAATGTGCTTTAGAGGAAATGAAAAAATGGGATGATCATAAGGAGAGGCCACTTTACAGAGGTATAAATGGACAGGTACCCACCGATTCTATCGCTCAAAGAGAACGTCGTTCTGATGAAGAACTTGTAGCAGAAGAAAAACATGACCTTGTAGCTTGGGTACAAGTTTGTGAGCTTGCACCTACAGGAGAATATGTACCAGTTCAAGTACTTTCACAAAATACACTAGATCCTGGTGCATTCTTCTTAAGACAAGGATTACAACGACGAATAATTTTAACATTGACACACAATTCTGGTAGACAATTTCCTTGGAGTAAAATACCAAAAATGGAAATTGGACATGTTAGATTATTAGATGGAAAAGGAAGATTGTCAGAGTCGCCAATCCAGAACGATGTTCAAATGAATTTGCTACCACATCAACCTGTTCAATTTAATAGAGATGGTACAAGCGTGATTGTTGCACAAGCATCATGGGACAGTACACTTCACGATTCAATATTTTTGAATAGGACAACAGCTTCCAATAGTCGTGTTTTATTAGGATTAACATGGTACGTTGAAGCAGAAAAATGTGTAGAACCCGTATCATTTCACATGGATATTGCGGTGCAAATCCAAGGACGTGAAGCAAGACCACCATCAAAATTAATACAATTGTTAAATCAATCAAAAGTATTATGGAAATCTAGTGGACTATTTTCTGTTACACTCAAACCACCAATGACACGTGAAATTTCTGAACTTTGGCGTCTCAATACAGCCAATAAATACGTACGCGGAGAAGAATTTTTGGAAGATTGGAAACCACGCGGTGTTTTATTAATTAAGGATTTCAAAAAAATTAGCGAGTCAATAAGAAGGCAAGAAGCAGTTGAACACACCAAACAAGTTATTGCAGTATTAGGATCTCGTAATAAAACAGCATCATCAGATAAAAAAACTGTTGAATATGATCCTGTTGATTTAGTGAAAAAAGCCGTAACACTTTGGACAAAGAAATGGGGGATATCCAAAGAGGTTTTTATTTAATTTAAGAAATATATATGTGTGTATGTATTCATTAGATAAAATATTTATTGTCAATTTTTATAAAACATTTCTATTCTATAGATTATAATAAATCAAGAACCACCGATTTCAGGATCATGCAATGATCTAAGTCCATCAAAAGGCTCTAAATCTACAAAATTAGTTGCACAAGTCCGTATGGTTTCCAAAACGTATGTATTACCATTAATTGATTAATAAGTTACTGTTATTATTATTATTATTATTATTATTGAGAATAAATTTATATTAATTAATGTGATTTTTTTTATTGTTTTCGTTGTTACTAAAGCGATACGATAACCAAGAAGGGTTATTTGTTTACTCCGGAAAATGCAGATGATGTTTGGGTGAAACGTTGGTATGTCTTAAGAAGGTATGTTAAAGGTTTCCTAATATTGAATAAAATGATTATACGAAATTGATTGTTTAATATAATAATCTATATATTAATCATTCATTTTTAAAATTATCTTTTAAAAAGGCCATACTTATTTATTTATGAATCGCAAAAAGAAACCGAAGAACAAGGTGTAATAAATCTCGGATCTGTTAGAGTTGATTATAAAAAAGATTTGGAAAATATGCTTGAGAGACAAAATGTATTTGCTATTTATACTAATAATAATGGATATATATTGCAAGCAACTTCAAGGCAAGATATGATTGACTGGATTTCCAAGGTTATTATTATCTATATTATATTATATCATTATGGTCAAAGCTTGCTTTTAAACTAATATTTTTTTATTATATAAATAGGTCGATCAATTTTATCAAATTTCATCAATAGAATAAATAGACTTTAGATTAAATTAATTTTCACACTATAAATATTATTCTTTATGTATTTTTATTATTTTTTTTTTTGTAAAAATTTATTATTATTTTTATTTTTTTGATGGTTTTTTTTATGATTTTTTTAAAAAAAAAAATAAATCTAAAAAAATATTTCTTTATTAATTCTATTAATTTTATTAGTTTATATATATATAATATTAATAATATAAAAAATTTTCAACTTATTTTTTACCATACATCACATCGATATCGTGCTGATATTTTTGTTGAATATCTTTACGTTTGATTTTCAAAGCTGCAGTCACAAGACCCTATTAAAGAGAAGGATAAAATATAATAAATGACGAATGAATGAATGATATTTATGTATAGTATAATAGCCTTACATTTTGTGCAGTCCATTCATCACTCATTAGCGTAATTGCAGATAAAAATTCGGCTGGTTTAAAGTCTGCTTTCTTTGCTTCTGCAGTACATGCTTGGAGTACAACATTAGTGATTTCTTTGTTTTTACATAACTCTTCAAAACTTGAACCGTGAATATTTTTTTCGATTGCAAGTTTTTTAATTTGAGCTTCAACAGGAATAATCAAAGCAACTGGACGTGCTTGAAATGAATCAGCATAAACGCAGATATTTGATACATAAATCGCGGATTTATAAACAGATTCTAGCTTTTCGAGAGCAATGTATTCACCATGAGAAAGCTTTACCAAATTTTTCACTCTGTCAATGATATTTAAAGTCCCGTCTGATCTCCATTCTCCAATATCACCAGTTCGAAGCCATCCATCATCGGTAAACGTTTCTTTGGTCGCCTTATCGTTTTTGTAGTAACCTGAAGTGACAACAGGACCACGAATCCAAATTTCTCCTTGTAAATTTGTAGCTTTATAGCCAGCTGCTGGTACATCGACCAATTTTATTTCTGTGCATGGTACTGGTGCTCCAACGCTGCCATAAGAAAATTGGTCTAAAGTAAGAATAGTACACATACTAGATGATTTTTAAAATCAAAAAAAATGTAAAGTTTTTTTTTAATGGTTTAATAAATCATGATTCAACAGATAAAATAACAATAATAAATCTAACCTACCCGCAAGTTTCGGTCATGCCATAACCTTGTAATATTGGACATAACGTTGTACATAAAAACACTTGCGTCTCTTTAGAAATCGGCGCACCACCAGATAAAGCAAATCTTAACCTTCCACCGGTCACTAGTTTAATTTTATTGAATATCAAAAGATCAACAAGCTTGGTGGGCAAATATTTGCTCTTTAACCACCCCTTGGCTTTAAAAGCAGCTTTAAACATTTTTTGAATAGTTGGTCCACCTTCTTGAACTTTTGTAATAACACCTTTTCTGATCGATTCCCAAACGGCCGGCACGCCAGTCATTATAGTTGGTCTCAATTCGCGCAAATCACCTTGACAATTTCTTACAGAGGAATCTGTTAATGTACGAATGCTTCCATAGCCCATGGGAACACCCCACCAAAGACATAAATGCTCTACAACAAATTCAAGAACATGCGCAAGAGGGAGATATGCAAGAAGTGCATCATCCTCACGAATTAAAGGTCCAATTAATTTACCGGCACCACTAACTATCAAAAAAAAAATTTTTTTTAAGTAATAATAATAATAATGAAAAAAAACATGTAAAGAAAAAAAAACAATATATTACCTGCTGAAACTATATTAGCGTGAGTCAATAAGACACCTTTTGGATTACCGGTACTTCCAGAAGTGTACATTATACAACATAAATCTTGAGGTCCTGGTGGGTTATATTTTATTGGAGAATTTCTGCTCAAGTTCTTTAGTTCATCTATCGACAAGAATCTAATATTTAGATAAATGTGAGCTAATTCTTCTATAATCCCCTCTTTTGGTTCACCATCGTAGATCACACATTCAAGAAGTGGACATTTTTTTGCGATTTTTTTAATCATTGGAAGTAAATCTGCGTTTGTAAACATTCCATGAATTTCTGCTTCGTTCATTGAATGAACAAGACCTTCTTCGCCAAGTGTATCGTACGCTGTTACGATTGTCATCCCTTGGGTGAAACAGCCTGTTATGGATATATGGATATATATATAAAATATATCAAACCACTTGTATAACGAAACATATAATATTTATTATTAAACTTTACCATGAGCCATAAGCATCCAATTAACACTATATATATTTTTTTAGAAAAAAAACAAAGATTAGTAAAAAATGAATCCAAAAGGAAAATAGTCAATCGATTCAATCGAAAGAGTCACCTTGTGGCAGCATAGACTGTTATTTTAGAATATTTCCCAAATCCAAGTTGAAGCAAACCAGAACCGATCATTCCAATATCCCTATCAAAATCACTGTAAGTTAACCAGTTATAACCCGACAATTGAAAATATTTCCATGTTTTTTTTTCTTTTGTTTCTACGTCTCCAACAATTTTTGTGATTTCTTTTTCTTCCTCGACGATTTTTACAACTTTTCTATAACCGATCGCATTTTTATTCGATCCGTATTTTTTAACACCATGTTGTACTATATCGTAAAGTGTTTTGATACCTTTCTTTGGCGTGCTCAATAATTCATCTGGACTTAAATATGAACGACGAATTCGAGTTTCTCCTTCAACTTCGGGACCAACTTCGACACTAAAAACTTGCTTCATTTTTTTTAACAAATTATAATGTTTTTTTAAAAGAAGTTAATTGTTATAATTAATTAATTAATAATAATAATAACAATAACAACAAAAATAAAGGCTTTTTTTTAAATGTGAAGAAGTTTCGAAAATGACAAGAAAAAAATATCAAGCTTGCTTATATTTATAAACAAATAGTTTTCGAGACGATCGAGATAACGTCAATTTCAACCATGCGATTACAATTTTTTCATGTATAAAAATGAATTGCTCGTGGATACAATAGGTAAAGATCTCATAACAATTTTTGTCATAATGATTATTATTAGTAATGATTAAAAATTAAAAATTTTTTTTTCTAATTTATGAATGAATGGTGGGATATTAATAATTTGGCATTGAACGGAAAATACAAAACTGTCATATTTCCGCATTCATAATATGTACTGGTATGATCAATTCATTCATAATGGCGGGTTAAATTAATTGTTAATCAATTCAAAAAGTCACATTTATCACTGTTATAATAATTATATTGCTATTTCTCAAATAAAAATTAAAACCTAAAAAAGCCCTCGACATAAAGTTTCTCGAATATATTATTAATATGTTGCGTGTCAAATCTAAAAAAATATTTACGAACTCGGAAACTCTAAATTCTTGCTGACGAGCTTACCACCGTCCTAATGGCTTAATAATTCCATCACATGGCAATGTTAATATTATTATTATTGCATGGTTAATAACTACTATGGTTAGTATGAAATTAATAAAACAATTATATTTCATCGACTCGTGACAATATACAGCTGCCAAAATTATTAGTAAAAAATTTAATCACCAGAAATTAAAATATTTATATAAAAGAAAATTTAATAAATGATTATAGGAATATTATTATATTCTTGTTCTGAATAATCACCTCTGATTTCAGATAATAAACAATTGTCAGTTTTGTTAACTTTACATCATAAAAATGATCATCTAAAGAAAGTGAAATGCGGGTCACATCCAATACAGTGATTCGTTAAATGAGCAGCAAGTTTTGACGTTACTCCACGTTAAAACATTTTGGGATAGTACAAACGTTTATATATATATATATAGCAGAAATGACCTTTAGAATTTCTATGTAATGTGCCAATTGGTAAAATTTAGGTGCTTCCCATTTGAAAGGAGGACAGATTATCTCTGACACTTGAGTTATCGTTTATAAATTGAATCTGACTGTGAAATTTTCAAAATTTTCTCATTTTGTCATATTTTTCGTCTTTTCGTCTTTCGTCGTATTTCGTTTTGACGAAATAATTTCCGCTCACAAAAAACATTTCAATAGAATGATCACAAAAAAGGCAAGATTCTTTGCTTTTTTACCTAAAAATAAAATGAATGTATTATTTTAATATATATATATCATATTAATTATGTAATGATCATGCTGCTTGATCAATTCGAAACTATTATGTGGCATTATGCATTGTTCTGTTTCCGAATTACTTGTCGGACTTTCGCACAAACTTAGAAATTCATTAATATTAAAAATTAAAAATTTCTAAATTTTACAATGATATAGAAACGGACCATGTTGTGAAAAAAGTAATTTTGAGTTAACACCATTGCTATATATAACTCCTCACATAGAACATTTTGGCTTGAAATATTCTTCTTTAAAGTTTCAAAAACGATAGTAAACCTCTTAAAATGCCACTTTTTTAGATGTCAACAAAGACTCGCAAACAAGCATAAAAGGATAAAAGGATAAAAGGATATTAAAGTAACTTAATAACAATAATAATTATTATTTGCTAATTTTTAGACCTTTATCAATTTAGATGATATTTTTACTAAATACTTAATCTGAAACATCATAATGTGGAAAAGAGCAAACTTGACTATTTAAACTTTGATCCCAAACAAACATAATAATTATACTATGACTATCAAAGTAAAATTTTTAATGAGTTGTTGCCATTTCAATACAATACATATAGTGAACCACTGACATATCCAAGTGTCAATTTTAATAGCATCAGATATATAGTTTTTAATTAAAATATCTCCAACCATAGTTGGACAAATTTTAGATCCTAAAAGTTCCTTTAGATTAATCATACCTGCCACATCAGTCACTCCTACACCAAACCCACCAACATTTGATATATATGTTAAGAAGAAATAACTATTAACACAAAAGTGATTTAATTTTGCATTTTTATTTTCTTAAAAACAAACATGTATTATTAAGGTATTACATTATTTTTTTAACCACTATATAAATAAATGATAATATTATGCCTCCTGCTGTTTCTGCAATAGTGCAGAGCAACAACAAACAATGTTAATGGATATTCAGGTAACCAAATAAGTGCCAATACAATTTCCAAAACACAATTTTACATCACAAATATAAAAATTAAAATTTTTTTTCAATATAAAAGTTTGGTGGTTGCTACAACATCCATAAATCTGATTTACAGACAGAATCATTAATATGGGATGGGGCGGTTCGGTTCTGGTTCCATGGAACCGGTTCCAAAATAGATGTAGCACAAAATATTATTGTCAAAACTAATTTTCTTTGAAAATTTTCACTATATACATATAAAATTTTCTTTAAGGGTATTACTTCCTAATATGAAAACAGTCTATGAGATACTATCTAGTCATTGTCCATATTTAATGTTGGCGATTATTTTTGTTTTGCCAATCACTAATTGACCAATGGGAATGAAGAAAGGTAAATGAAAATGACAAAACGGATATTAAAATATCCCGATATGGTGAAGTGGGCTTGACCTCAAATAAATTTAATTATTTAATATTAACAGATGGTCTTTTGGAGAATTGCAAATGGTTTTTTTTGAATTGTATAAAAAAAATGGACCTTTGGCAAATTGCAAAAAAGGTTTTTGACATAAATTTTAAAAAATGGACTTTTGGCGTGAATTGTAAAAAGATTTTTTGAATTGTAAAAAATAGTCTTTTGGCGAATTGTAAAAAAAGATTTTTTGACATTATCATTTAAATTGTAAAAAATAGACTTTTGGCGTGAATTGCAAAAAGATTATTTGGATTGTAAAAAATGGTCTTTTGGCGAATTGTAAAAAAAAAAAGACTTTTGACATTATCTTAACAGATCATTTAAATTGTAAAAAATAAACTTTTGGCGTGAATTGTAAAAAAGACTTTTGACATTATCCTAAATTGTAAAAAATAGACTTTTGGCATGATTTTTTTAATTGTAAAAAATGGTCTTTTTGGAAAATTGTAAAAAAAGATTTTTTAAATTATCTTAACTATTTTTGAGCTTTTCTATAAAACTGGTGTAAAATTTTGAAGTTATCGCGTCTACGATTAACCAATAAACGTGACATTAACGAACCTGAGTGAACACACAAGTTTTGTATATTAATATTATTTTTTTACTAATAATAATAAATGATCACGTGAGAGACCGTATCCTTAATTAATGAGTTTATTCATTTACGATATTGATTGTACAAGAACCTTTTCAAGACGCTCAGAATTTCGTAACCATGCAGAAACATAGCAATTAATACGAACAAGGAAGAGACTGATGACTATTGTACAGATCGAGATCTTTGTTTCGGAAAATAGAGTTTCTATTCATAATATAAATTCTATTCGAATTATTCATTCATTATTATTCATTTCATTATTATTCAAATAGAAACACTATCAGAAAGGCATATTTACTAAAATACTTGGTTTAAAATTTTATATCAATGATTAAAGTCACTTGCCATAAAGGATCGGACTGGTAGCTACCATTTGCCGTAATAATTACGGCTACCGCAAATAGTTTTCAATTACTGTCATTAGTATTATTAGTCATATTAGTCTTGCGAAAATTTTCTTGAATTATTTGAGATCTACAGTAACTGAATTGTAATTGATGAATTAAATCAGTTGGTCATTCATTTACAATGAAATTATATGTGTAAAAATAAAAATTGCGGCAGCCGTAGCTATTTACGGCAGCCGTATCTGTTTGCGGCAGCTGTAGCTATTTTCGTCAGCCTTACTGTTTGTGGAAACCGCATCTATTTACGACTGCCGTATTTGTTTGCGGCAGTCGTAAATATTTTATAATGGTAGTTACCATTGCCGCAAATAACCAATTACTGCAGATGTCTTTACCAATGATGCAGTTGGTCAATGTAAAAGTAAATTATTCCGCATTTGACATTGCACTCGTGATAAATGAAATCGATTTTTATCCTTTAGTAAAATTAATTGGTGAATTTAATTAAATCTATTATTGAATTAATTCATGTTGTTTCAACGTTATGATAAATGTAATTCACTTTATATTTTAGAATACTTTATTTATATTGTTATTCAACGTGCGTTTAATGATTTAAGTTAAAAGTGTAAATCAACATTGTTATTCAACGTGCTTTTATTTATGTTATTAATAAATTAAATTACGCAATGATCATTGATCTGTTGTTGATTAATGCATTCATCAGCATAGATCAACACTTTCAAAATTTCTTGATGCTTGAAATAAACCAAGCAACCACATTGTATAATATGTCATCTATTAATGCCAATGGCATGCTTGTGATGGATGTGAAAATAAAAAAGGCTTCCATATTCTTATTTAATGAACTCAATAATATGTATCTTTTAATTTGAAGCTTATAAATTGTTTCCTTCAAAAGTTATCAGGGCTTGAATTTAATGAAAATTATCAGTCTTTATTTCGAAATTTAGTCCTCATCTAACCTTTGATCCAGAGATGATCTTTTGATATTATTTAACCCACTAGTAAAGACAAACATAAAGAACGTTTCTGCGCAAAAAAATCCTAATAATAATTTTTTTGTATACATACCCCTTTAAACAATTGAAATCACATGTTTCACAACATAAAAAAGATCAACAATCGATTTTGTCACGAGTGTCCATTATTATTATTATTATTATGCTTACATTAAATGGTAATTCAAATATCTGTGGTACATCTACTAATGCCGCAATCGGTAGACAAGCTACCACCAATACTAGTAGTATTCCAAGACCAAATCAACGATTCAATCACACCAACATCACTAATCCTAATCATTCTAACGCTAGTACAACAATTGACAATGATGTTGCCAGATCTTCAGTAATTGCTACCAAAACTACCATTGATACCGCTAATACTAAAACAAATAATAACATTATGACTGCTAATAGTTCTTCTTTTGCTGGTCCAGCAGCCAATCCAACCTTGAATAATAATAATAACAATAATCATCTTCTTAAAAAGAAAACTCTACCAACTTCAAAACTACCAGAACCACCATCAAAACGGGCAAATTTTAATAATAATAAAGAAAAGGCAGTTATTACCACCATCCCAAACAAGAATCACAAGCGTAAATTATTAT